GGTCGCCATCAAGCGCAGCAGGCACAGTACGGGCACTGACATCCCTAAATCATTCTGCCATTCTAACCTTTGCTTCCAGCACTTGTAGTGTTTACCCTTATTATGGTATATTTTACAGAACAAATGGACAGCTGGGGTTGTTAGGCCTTATACTGCTTTATACGGCTGCAGAGGATTATAAACAATCCTAACACTTGATATTCTGGCTTTGTGGGGGAGGCCTATCTCTGTAGTGACAAGGTGCGTCAACCTGAACCAGAGACAGCAAGCTATCAGATGCAGGCAGACGCTGTAGAACAGACTTATTTTTAAGCTCATATTTTCATGTAAGAAGTCTAGCATTGGTGTGGTCACTGCTTCGAAGTATTTCCTGTAGGCAGTTTTAATAAGTAGCATTTTAAAATGCAAATTGCAAGCTCTTCAGTGAATGTGAGCTGGTGAGTAAATTTCGTGCTGAGGTGAAACGCATTACAGTTAGACTCTTGCCCTGGAGTGATGAGGACAGACAGTGGGGTCCGCCGGTGGCAGGTTTTCCTGGCTTCACAGAGCCATGGGGGCCACACCTGCAGCCTAAGGAAGGGCCAAATCATGGACCCATTTTGCTGAGCATTAGTTACGTTCGACTTCAAGAGGCAGTCGCCAAGAGAAAGGGTAGTTTTTATAGGTCTAAATTAAAAGATCAACTTTTATCATCCATCGAGTTTGAAAGCCTTTGCCAGTTCTGTCCCTTTTTTTTTTTTTTTTTTCCCCCTTCAAGAAGACTCAGAAGACTTGGGCTCATGGGATGCTGCTTCCAGGCTACAGCAGCCAGTGGAAGCATCAACACCAGCACCACAAAGCTCAGCCCTTATAATGGTGGGTGAAGCCTCCTGATCAGTAGAAGGGAAATCCATAAGAGACTGAAACCCTTTCTTCCTTGAGCCAAGAGGAAGTCACCATCCACAGCATCTGGAATATTTCTAATGTGCAACCCAAGCATAATAAAGGTGTGAAGGCTAAAAATGGGAAACACCTACCACAGCTCCAACAGCCAAAGCAAACAGAAAAAAGCTCAGTAAGTTACAGCTTCAAATAGCTTGTTCCTCAGTCCTTTTCATATTTCACTGGCATCCTCACAGACACTGGCCCATGTACATAGCAAACCCCAAATGGGTTTTAAAACTAACCTAGAAAAGAAAAACAAAGCCTTATGGATCAGAGGCAGCTGCCTTGCCCTAGCTTCTGTACTACCTTAACATGTTTTGCTTTTCTTGTTGCTTTTTTCTATGTTTGTTTGATTTGAGGGGGGGAGTTGTTTTTTGTTTCATCCTTTCCTATTCTTTTGTCTACTTTTTCCAAACTAGCAAACAAAAAGTCAGATCATTGGTTTTGTTTTACTCTATTTTACAGACCACTGAGAGAAGCTGTAAAATTTAAATTAATTTTTTGGCTTCTCATTTTAATGCTAAAAGAGAACACAACCAGAATTAATGTGGGCAGTGATGTGATTTTTCCAGCAGCATCATAATTGTCAGGGAAAGTATTAGACTGCTGCTTGATTAAATATCTCAAATTTACTGTGATTCATTATTTTCTGAGACAATCTTGGCAACAAATGGATTCTGTTTTTACTATTCTCTCAACATTTCTAGCAATAACCTCTTTACACCATTTACATCTAGAAAAAAGAAACAAGAAGTTGAAGTTAAGGCTATTACCTTGATCTAGAACAGTAGAAAGATGTTTGCGGATTTGTCTACTTGCTTGAATAAAAAACTGAAGTGAGATCTGCTTGGCAACCATGTAAAATCTATCCATGTGCTGGCTGTCGCCGAGAATTAAATGCATTCAGAAGAAAAAAGTAGTCTCTCACAGAAAGACTGACAGTGCAGCATCAATCCACTGTCTTCTGTCCCTACCTCTTCATATCTGCAGACATGTGCATGGACGTATCTTGCTGCTCACATGTATTATTAGAGCCCCTGGCTACAGTGCTGCCAGTTTGTCTAAAAATGATTTCTCAGATATAATTCAGGTACTGGATACCTCATTTTTTGCATTCCCCATTTAACTCCAAGTTCAGAGATTACTGAGCGCACAAGTCTCTGAAAAGAAGTCAGCATGTTTACCTCATTAAATTTATTTCACTAACAAAAATGGCACCCAGATTGCATTTGGGCGCAGGTTTGGAACTAAGAAGTTTTCTTCAACTTGATTTCACTTGGCTAAACTAAAAGTAATCATGCAGATTCCTCTAACTTTGAATGCCATATGGAGCTGTAAAAATTGTGCTTTGCTTTAAAAGGTCCTTGCTCTCAGCCACAAACTTTTTTTTGGTGCGTACTGGCATCTCAAACCAGCAAGTACTGAGCTCTGCAGGGCTGATCCAGAAAAACGTTCATGTAAATGTTTGATTTCAGGTCCTGTTGAGGGCCAGTTCCTGAAAACATAAAGCTAATCACACATTCGACTACTTTATTGGATCGAGACCAGGGCACAAGGTCTTGGAGATGGATGTGTCCATGCTGTGCTGACAAACATCCGCACCTGGCAATGCGGCCGGCTTTGCTTACAGGCTCCATGCTCCCCTCGGCTATTTTAGGACAGGTTAGGGACCAGTACTGGGGGGCGGTTTCTTATGTGAAAAAAGGTCAGAAGTTTGCCTGCTTGCTCGAACCAGCAAAATCTGTTTTTAATCCATGAAAATACACCAAAACACCATTCTTGGAGAAAAAGGTATGTTGTATTTTTCCTGACCACCGTTTTCCCCAGTGGCAAGTTTCTGATTCAGAATTATATCCACAGCTTTGTTTATGGGACTTTACAAAAGGGTTTGCACGGGTTAGTGAGGGGAGGGAATACTCCTATACGCAGAAACACAGAACCCATTAAAGCACATGAGGCTCTGGTGATTCCCCTCCCCAGCTGCTACTGAGTTTTTTTGCAGGCTGGAAAAGGGGCTGTGGCCCATCTGCACCCCGTATGTGGGAATTCATTTTCAGCATAGCCGCAGGAGTGTGGGTCCAGCAGACCCTCCCCTAACCTCCTCTCAGATCCCCCTCCATGCTGACCTAATT